AGTGTAGTTGTGTAGTTGTAGTTGTAGTGTAGTGGAGTGTAGTGTAGTGTAGTGTAATGTAGTGAAGTGTAGGGGAAGGTCGTGTAGTGTAATGTAGTGTAGTGTAGCGGGGTGTAGTGTAGTGTAGTGTAATGTAGTGTAGTGTAGTGTAGTGTAATTTAGTGTAATGGAGTGTAGTGGCGTGTAGTGGAGTGTAGTGGAGTGTAGTTTTGTAGTTGTAGTGTAGTGGAGTGTAGTGTAGTGTAATGTACTGAAGTGTGGTGGTGTGTAATTTAGTGTAGTGGAGTGTAGTGTAATGTAGCGTAGTGGAGTGTAGTGTAGTGTAATGTAGTGTAGTGTAATTTAGTTTAGTGGAGTGTAGTGTAGTGGAGTGTAGTGTAGTGTAGTGTAATTTAGTGTAGTGGCGTGTAGTGGAGTGTAGTGGAGTGTAGTTGTCTAGTTGCAGTTGTAGTGTGGTGGAGTGTAGTGTAGTGTAATGTAGTGAAGTGTAGTGGAAGGTTGTGTAGTGTAGTGTAATGTAGTGTAGTGGAGTGTAGTGTAATGTAGTGTAGTGTAATTTAGTGTAATGGAGTGTGGTGGAGCGTAGTGGAGTGTAGTTGTGTAGTTGTAGTGTAGTGGAGTGTAGTGTAGTGTAATGTAGTGAAGTGTAGGGGAAGGTCGTGTAGTGTAATGTAGTGTAGCGGGGTGTAGTGTAGTGTAGTGTAATGTAGTGTAGTGTAGTGTAATTTAGTGTAGTGGAGTGTAGTGGAGTGTAGTTGTGTAGTTGTAGTTGTAGTGTTGTGTGGAGTGTAGTGTAGTGTAATGTAGTGTAGTGTAGTGGAGTGTAGTGTAGTGTAATGTAGTGTAGTGTAGCGTAATGTAGTGGAGTGTAGTGGAGTGGAGTGTAGTTGTGTAGTTGTAGTTGTAGTGTTGTGGAGTGTAGTGTAGTGTAATGTAGTGTAGTGTAGTGTAGTGTAGTGTAATTTATTTAGTGTAGTGAAGTGTAGTGGAGTGTAGTTGTGTAGTTGTAGTTGTAGTGTTGTGGAGTGTAGCGTAGTGTAATGTAGTGTAGTGTAGTGGAGTGTAGTGTAGTGTAATGTAGTGTAGTCTAGTGAAGCGAAGCGAAGCGAAGCGACATCTGAACCTCCAAAAGTGGTCCGAACCCTGGTGTTTTGAACATTTTTACTTCGAAATGTCCTTCGTGCCACAACGGCGTGCGCTTTTTCGAGTTCTGAACTTCCAAAAGTTGTCCGAACCCCTAGTGTTTTTAACATTTTGACTTCCAAATGTGCTTCGCGCCACAACGGCGTGCACTTTTTCGACATCTCAACTTCCAAAAGTGGTCCGAACCCCTCAGTTTTTAACACATTTTACTTCCAAATGTGCCGTGCACTTTTTCAACATCTCAACTTCCAAAAGTGGTCCGATCCTGAGGTGTTTTGTGCCTTTTCACTTCGAAATCGGCTTCGCGCCACAACGGCGTGCAACTTTTCATCTCTCATCTCCCCAGATGTCTCCGCACCCGCCGCTTTAGCGAGCCTACTTTTCAACCCTCCGGAGCCACAAAACCACGAAAAAACACAGTGTTTCGCGACTTTCCTACCTTTTCGCGCACCTGCATCTTCTTTCTTCTGATCTTTTCTCTTCGGACTCTTCTCCCTGCTGACTGCTTTTTCATCTCTCCATATTGTCGGAAGTTTGACTTCTAAACTTCCTTCGATAAATAAAGGGTTCCCTGTGTTTGGTATTGTTCTCGGTTTTTTGTGGTGATGAGATGATGGTTTTACCACAGTATATCGATCGGTACCAAGTAGGATGGGTTCCAGTTCTATTGATCCTGACCTTTTTGCTGGATTAATTGGGGCTACTGTTGGATTTCCATCCCCATGGTGACATATGTTGGATAGTAGAAGGGTTGGGATCGCCAGCCGTCCGTCGGGTGCTGGGTGGCTCAAACCAACATCGAAAATATAAGCCAGGGACACAGAATCAGAGTTTGGTTTTTGATTTGATGTTGTTTTTTCATGTGGAAAATCATTAGGTTGACAGTTTCCTTTTGAGCCACCCTTCCCATCCAGTTCCATTGCGCTTCTGCCAAAGGTGTTTGGCATGCAGAAGGACTACCTCAGAAACAGAAGGCGGGCTAGCAAGGATCTCTTCCAAAGGTGTTCAAAGGCAGGTCCTTTCCAACCATGGGTCATGGAGAATTCGTCGCACATATCGAATCAATAGATTTGACGGGCGACGCCGTCGATTTTGATTCTCTCTACTCGGTGCTTGGGGCGTTGCAAGCATTTCGACCAGAATGGTGCCGTAGACCAGCTCCTACCTCTTCACGGACTTCACCCAGCCCTACATCATGCCTCTTACGTGTCATCAGAAAGATCCTTGCGTCATTCTCCAATAAACAGAGCTTTACACTCGCTGTCAAAAAAATGATTTTCCAGTCATGGCCTGGTTTTGTTTGCATTCTTCTCACTTGTCCCATTTAACGTACCGATATGGTTTTTCGTTTTTTCTCATTTCAATTTGCAACTTTTGGCTTTTGACGAAACGCGAATCATTCCTTGCTGATCTTCCTTCGCTTCGGGATCTTCGCATGGCTTCTGAACAAGATCTGGATACCCACATGGAGCCAGTGTCAGGGTATACGACGGTGACCCCTGCCATCCCTATGCCAGCTTCGGATGACACTTCCACCTTCACGGCTCCACATTGCACCACCCGTTCTGAATTGCAACCAAACCAGTATCGCCAGCGAACAGTCCACACCACTACTTTCAAGATCTTCGAGCACGGCAAAGAAGTCGACGACACGGGGTACTTGAAGATCAAAACACCTGAGACCTTCAACGATCTTCAACCGCATTGTAGGTCATGTTCGAGATCGTCAAGGGCAACGTGTGGATGGCTGTGCACAAACAGCCACTTTGGCCAATTATTGGCGAAGATACTTCAATATGAACGAAAACACATGGCCATACCATGACTATGATGACTACCAGTACGAAAACACACCACAGACCACAGATCCTTCGGCAACTGGATCTACCCAATCTCAGGTACCTTATCGTTTATCCCAGCTTTCCCATCTGGACCCGGATGGAAATGCCTCAATCTTGGAGGCACTGAACGCTGCATCATCCTCTTCGTCATCGGCATCCTTGAACCACGACGGCCTGGCCTTCTTAGCTGTGGTCACTTGGCAATCCTGTCCAACTACCTGGCTCGCCGTGGCACAATATTGAACTTTCTGAGGCTTCCGATTGATAGGCTTATGAATCCCAACTTCGAATCTTGCCCGTTATTTTGATCCAACCATGATCCGCTTCGGTGCAACCTTCAAAAAAAAAGGCTGCTGCAGGGCGTGTGTGTGTGTGAAACATCTCAACAGGTGTAAAACTTGTATCTGTTTTTTTTTCTGTTCAACGGTAGATGGTACTTCACAAATTTGAATTGCAGGGGGTGCTGGGGGCACCGATGAGACTGGCACTGACAAAGACACTCATCAGTAGCCTGTGATATCGATGGGGACGCTCATCGACGTACCTGCACAACATGTCAATTTGGTGAGAAGAGGCTCAACCCAAGAACCTCCTTTTCGTCGTTTTTGCATTTTTACATTTTCTGAACCTGATTTGTCAACATTTGGATGATGAAAACATTCTATTTTTGCCTGGCGCAACTCAAGACTGTGGTGAGATTCTTTCTCCTGGCTATGGCGATGGTTGCTACTTGAGGCCGGGGGTGGATGACGAAAGCTAGCGGGGTAGGAGAAAGAAGGAAGGGAAGAGGTGAGTTGCGGAGGGACTGTCATCATCGTGTCGCGGCATTGTTCGTCCCAACGAGGATGCAACAATAATATATTGATATATGATATATAACAATGATATATATGGGGGAGGGGGCAGGGGGGGGCTCTTTCGCGGGAAAAATCACGTGATGTCCTTGGGGAGCCCCGGAATACGTGCTAAAGCAAGAAGACTCTAGCGAGCTGACGCTAGCTTTCGTGATAATGACAATGATTGCCAATAATGATAAAATGTAATTGAATAACGATGATGATGATGATGATGATGATGATGATGATGAATGATGAATGATGAATGATGAAGGATGAAGGATGAATGATGAATGATGAATGATGGATGATGATGATGATGATGATGACGACGGGGATGATGATGATGATGATGATGATGATGACGATGACGATGACGATGACGATGACGATGACGAGGACGATGACGAGGACGACGAGGATGATGATGATGATGATGATGATGATGATGATGATGATGATGACGATGATGATGACGATGATGACGACGATGACGACGATGATGATGACGATGATGATGACGATGATGATGATGATGATGATGGTGGTGATGGTGGTGATGGTGGGGAGGGGGGGGGGGGTGCGGTCAGTGGTGGGGGGGGGGGGCCCTTTCGCGTGAAAAATCACGTGATGTCCTTGAGCAGCCCCCCCAATACTTGCTAAAGCAAGAAGACTCCAGCTAGCTGACGCTAGCTTTCGTGACATGTTGCTACGACTATTTATTTGGCTATGATTTGTGCAAAGGGAAGGGTCAGCTCCAAAATCTCAAATTTCTTCCTCTCTGATCAGGATTTACTGGAGTGTTTTTGCACGTACGGTGCATTCCACATCACAATTCGATAAGACAAGTCTGAGCAAGTGTGTGGAGCCAACTCCTTTTTTCAAGGCTTTACCAACTTACAAGTGTTCAGTTTTTCAGCTTTAAGGCAGGGGTGCAAGCAGCCCACCCAGTCTTGCACCAACGAAGACACTGGATGAGTGCCGGTAGCAAAAAACAAGAAGAACATGGCTCACGCTTTAACATCTTTAAATATGTTATAATAATCCGACCATATGCTTGGCCTCAGGGACTCTACAGGACCTCAGACGTTCTGCAATCATGACTTGTCTTCGCTCTGCAAATGGCTGCCATTGGCAGAGTGAGGGAGATCACTGGCCACATGTACACACTATCCGGTTTTTTTCTCCTGCAAAAGACTTTGAAACTGAACCGGGATTTGAGTCCGACTGATATCGTGTCACAAAATGGACCGTATTCGGTGCAAGAAAATGGACTGACAGATTGAAACACGTTCTACCGTGCTGCTCAACTGGCTAGCGTTCCACAGTCTCAGAGGAACAAAAGGGAACGCAAATTGATCAGCAGGCCAAAATCATGGAAAATCTGCGATGACATTCAGTGAATGTCATGTAGGTCTCGTGGTGGTTTTCGCCACGGCAGCCTACTAAAACCAGCTCGTACATCACCTCAGAGAACTTCTTGGAGAGGAATTCGATGAAGAGAGGCCATCCCTGAGTAAGTTGGACTAGCGGCGCATCATGCACTGCTTGTGTTTCTGAAGTGGGGTCACACCGTGCCGCAGCAGCATACAATAGTTTGAACGTGATGATCTACACCCACACTGCAAACTGTAAAGCCTAGGCCCTGCAAGAACATTATAGTCACGATCTTGCAGATAGAAAATACTCGTAATGCTTTTGAGGTTTTTTTCTTACGAGTTGGCAGTCTAGCAGATAGAAAATTGTTTTTTCCGTTTTTTTCTTACGAGTTAAATTGTCATATATCTCCGTCTTGCAAAAGTTCCGCAGTAATTTGCTGTCTGGATTTTTTATAATTGAGATAAAGTATTCAAAAAAAGAAAAGTCATAAGAAAACCTTGGGTTTTTGACGTTTTTTTCCATTTTTGCGTGCGTATATGCAGTCGAAGCATGTCGAAGCTTGACATAATTTTCTATCTGTGTGTTTTGGAAAAAATCTATATTCGATTTTTTTCACCGTCTGATTTTTGATATTTTTAGTGTCTTAAATAACATCATTTTTGTACCTTAAACTTTCGGAACAAATGACATGAACTTTGTGCGAATTGGTTGCATTTTCAGATGATTCTTACATATATAATCATCTAAACGAATGGCATAAAATGTGTATGCATTGGTTGCATTTCCAAGATGTTTTTTGTATCTTAAATATCATGATATATTATATATATATGTGTGTGTATATATATATAGTGATATTATATCTATAATTTCAGAACCAATGACATGAAATTTGCATGAATTGGTAGCATTTCAGATCATTTTTGTATTTTAAAATATCATGGTGTATAATTTCAGAACGAATGACATGAAATCTGTATGAATGGTATTTCGGAAACAACAGCAACAATAACTGCATCTGGCACATTATTTTCAACCATCTGGAAACTAGATTTTAGCATCTAGATCAAGGGAAGAAATCCTATCAACTTTATGGGCATAAATGCCATTTCTTTTAATTGGGGTACCCCCATTTGTTTGGTTTCAAAATTCGGAGGTTCCATCATTCACGCGTTTCCCCAGATTGGGGTAGTTTTGATTTCCAAGGCTAATTCATCAAACAGAATTGACATAAATATTTTTCAGTGCTTCGTACTTTCAGGATTTCCCCTGTTTTGATGCTTTGTATGTATACTCCATAGCGTTATTATAGAAGATATTCAGGAATTATTTCAAATAGAAGATGCATTTTGGGGGTGCGGCCAAACGCGTTTCAAATAGAGGATATTGCAGAATGCAAAAGTAGTTCAAATGACCAAAAATCCAAGAATAAACCCCTCAACATTGGGATGATCTTTGGAATATCTTCTATTTGAAAATCTTTTTTCCCACTGCCATTTTTTGTGTTTTTTGCAGGGAAATTATCCAAAATCAATAGAACATTGACGCCCGGACCTGGGTGACCCCCCGAAGAGGAGAGTGTCAAAGTACCTCCCGAAGTGGGACCCGGCCGGAGGTACTTTGGCACTCTCGCCTTCGGGGGGTGGGTCGGTGAAAAACTGTTCAAAAACCATGGGTTTTTTTTGCTTCTTTGATTGAGGGATGGTGATTCAAACCATTTTTCAAATAGAAGACAATCTGTAATGCTATTTATTTTTCTAGAAGATATTCGAGGAGTACTGAAAAACACTTTTCAAATAGAAGATAATTGATTTTTGGCTTGGTTTTGGGCCTTCATAGGCTGGGCATAAAAGGGGGCACAAAAAACGCAGTCTTCAAATGAAAAATGATTGAGATCCCGAAACACCGAACAACACTAGGAAAAAACATACATCCAATTGTCAAAAACATTTTCAGATCATGCTCTAACCTCGCGATCCCTGGAGAAAGACAATAATTTGAATATCTTCTATTTGAAATGCCTGCTCAGTACAGCCAGTTTTGCACGTAAAATTGGTGAATATCTGGGCTGCTAGGGGTGATGCAATAATCATATATTAATAATCATATATTTGAATACCTTCTATTCAAAACACCATTGAAAAAACCTGAAAACAGCCGGTTTTGAACGCAGGAATAATATATGTGCATATCTTCTATTTAAAATGCCTTTGGGAAGGCTTCAAAACACCGCATTTTGCACATAAAATTGGCGAATCTGGCCTTGCAGGGGTGGAGAGGAAAAATGTATTTGAGTATCTTCTATTTGAAATGCATTTTGAAGGCATCAAAACACCGCGTTTTGGAAATAAAATGGTAGAATCTAAGTTTTCAGGGGTGGGCAGGAATAACATAGTTGAACATTTTCTATTTGAAATGCTTTTGGGAAGCACATAAAATTGGCGAATCTGAGCTTTTAGGGGTGGGCAGGAATAATATATTTGAATATCTTCTATTTGAAATGAGTTCGGCAAGGCATGAAAACACAAAGTTTTGCACATAAAATTGGTGAATCTGCACTGGCAGGGGTGGGCAAGAATAATATATGTGAATATCTTCTATTTGAAATGGCTTTGGGAAGGCATGAAAACACAAAGTTTTGCACACAAAATTGGAGAATCTGCACTGGCAGGGGTGGGCAGGAATCATATATGTGAATATCTTCTATTTGAAATGGATTTGGGAAGGCGTGAAAACACCAAGTTTTGCACACGAAATTGGAGAATCTGCACTGGCAGGGGTGGGCAGGAATAATGTATGTGAAATTATGTGAATATCTTCTATTTGAAATGGCTTTGGGAAGGCATGAAAACACCAAGTTTTGCACATGAAATTGGAGAATCTGCACTGGCAGGGGTGGGCAAGAATAATATGTGAATATCTTCTATTTGAAATGGCTTCGGGGAGGCATGAAAACACCAAGTTTTGCACACGAAATTGGAGAATCTGCGCTGGCAGGGGTGGGCAGGAATAATATATTTGAATATCTTCTATTTGAAATGGCTTTGGGAAGGCATGAAAACACCAAGTTTTGCACACGAAATTGGAGAATCTGCACTGGCAGGGGTGGGCAAGAATAATATGTGAATATCTTCTATTTGAAATGGCTTTGTAAAGGCATGAAAACACCAAGTTTTGCACACGATATTGAGGAACAATGTATGTGAATATCTTCTATTTGAAATGGGTTTGGGAAGGCATGAAAACACAAAGTTTTGCACACGAAATTGGAGAATCTGCATGGCAGGGGTGGGCAGAATAATATGTGAATATCTTCTATTTGAAATGGCTTTGGCAAGGCATGAAAACACCAAGTTTTGCACACGAAATCGGAGAATCTGCATTGGCAGGGGTGGGCAGGAATAATATATGTGCATATCTTCTATTTGAAATGGCTTTAGGAAGGCATGAAAACACAAAGTTTTGCACATAAAATTGGTGAATCTGCACTGGCAGGGGTGGGCAGGAATAATATATGTGAATATCTTCTATTTGAAATGGCTTTGGCAAGGCGTGCAAACACCAAGTTTTGCACACGAAATCGGAGAATCTGCATTGGCAGGGGTGGGCAGGAATAATATATGTGAATATCTTCTATTTGAAATGGCTTTGGGAAGGCATGAAAACACAAAGTTTTGCACACAAAATTGGAGAATCTGCACTGGCAGGGGTGGGCAGGAATAATATATGTGAATATCTTCTATTTGAAATGGCTTTGGGAAGGCGTGCAAACACCAAGTTTTGCACACGAAATTGGAGAATCTGCACGGGCAGGGGTGGGCAGGAATAGTATATGTGAATATCTTCTATTTGAAATGGCTTTGGGAAGGCATGAAAACACCAAGTTTTGCACACGAAACTGGAGAATCTGCACTGGCAGGGGTGGCCAGGAATAATATATATGCGAATATCTTCTATTTGAAATGGCTTTGGGAAGGCATGAAAACACCAAGTTTTGCACACGAAATTGGAGAATCTGCACTGGCAGGGGTGGGCAGGAATAATATTTGTGAATATCTTCTATTTGCAATGGCTTTGGGAAGGCATGAAAACACCAAGTTTTGCACGCGAAATTGGAGAATGCACTGGCAGGGGTGGGCAGGAATAATATATGTGAATATTTTCTATTTGCAATGGCTTTGGGAAGGCATGAAAACACCAAGTTTCGCACACGAAATTGGAGAATCTGCACTGGCAGGGGTGGGCAGGAATAATATATGTGCATATCTTCTATTTGAAATTTCTTTGGGAAGGCATGAAAACACAAAGTTTTGCACACGAAATCGGAGAATCTGCACTGGCAGGGGTGGGCAGGAATAATGTATGTGAAATTATGTGAATATCTTCTATTTGAAATGGCTTTGGGAAGGCATGAAAACACCAAGTTTTGCACACGAAATTGGAGAATCTGCACTGGCAGGGGTGGGCAGGAATAATATATTTGAATATCTGCTATTTGAAATGGCTTCGGGAAGGCATGAAAACACCAAGTTTTGCACACGAAATTGGAGAATCTGCACTGGCAGGGGTGGGCAGGAATAATATATGTGAATATCTTCTATTTGAAATGGCTTTGGGAAGGCGTGCAAACACCAAGTTTTGCACACGAAATTGGAGAATCTGCACTGGCAGGGGTGGGCAGGAATAATCTATGTGAATATCTTCTATTTGAAATGGCTTTGGCAAGGCATTAAAACACCAAGTTTTGCACACGAAATCGGAGAATCTGCCCTGGCAGGGGTGGGCAGGAATAATATATGTGAATATCTTCTATTTGAAATGGCTTTGGGAAGGCATGAAAACACCAAGTTTTGCACACGAAATTGGAGAATCTGCACTGGCAGGGGTGGGCAGGAATAATATATGTGAATATCTTCTATTTGAAATGGCTTTGGCAAGGCATTAAAACACCAAGTTTTGCACACGAAATCGGAGAATCTGCACTGGCAGCGGTGGGTAGGAATAATATATGTGAATATCTTCTATTTGAAATGGCTTTGGGAAGGCATGAAAACACCAAGTTTTGCACACGAAATTGGAGAATCTGCATTGGCAGGGGTGGGCAGGAATAATAGATGTAAATATCTTCTATT